GTGTAGATTTGCTGCTGATCCCCCAAACTCTTTTATTTTAGTTTTAAAATCCCAAGTCACTTCAGTAACTTTGATCTGTAGCAATAGCCTTATCTATCGTTGCTGTAATTCTGCAGGAAGATTACTTTGTTATCTTCGCTGGTTTTATGAACTACTTTCTTTAGGGTTTATTATGATGGTCTCCCACTAAATATAGCTTATGTGGAATTCTTAGAATCACATATTAATTCTTCTGCAGCAGAAGAAACTTCAACTGCCATAAAAAGAGCTACCTTAACCTGTTGCTCTGCTGTCCTATCAGTCAATTTTGAAATTGTGAAAAAATGCCTTGTCCCTTCCCAAATACTCTGACATTTAAGTAGGCAGTGACTGTTCGTTTAAAAAATTAATCTGAGGGGTAGGAATTTCCTGAATATGATATGGTACTGGAAACCAAATATTTTTATTTTTTTTAATATCATGGTATAGATATCTGTAGATTGATGTGAGAGCAGCAACAACAACAAAGGAAATTTTCAGTGAGATCATTCAGAGTTTTTCCCTCTCAAAGCTGTTTTATATTTGGACTTCCACTTATGTGATTAGGAATATGTGTGACTGCAATATGTTTTCAATGGATCTTAGTATCTTTGTTATCTAGATGTATTTCTATCAGTACAGAAATTTTCTGGAAACTGAAACTATCTTCCAGCTTTCATCTCTGCCCCCATATTACCTGTCCCTTTCTTACTTCTTCCTCTGTACTAAACCTGCCTCTTTGTAGATGTTTGATAGATCACTGGAAAGGAAAGGAATCACTCCTCTTCAGGCAAGCAGTAAAACACAAATACCAAAACCAAACCAAAACATTAACCGCTTAGTGTAAGCCCTTTTCTGTGGTTGAAGCTCTGACTTTGAAGTCATATTTGGTTAGTAACTTGAGGCATGCCTGTATCTTATCATAGCGTATCCCCCATTGTATATTACTGCTTACATAATTTCACAAAGACAGGGAATAGTAGTGATCTTTCCCAAAGGCCCCCTTGTTTGAAGCACTGAAAGCTTTTTTTTCCCTCTTGGAAAATTCAATAGCCAAGAACCTCACAGTATGTGGGATAACTCCTAGCAATATTATTCTAACACTGAAAGGAAGCAGAGGAGCGGTATGTATTATTTTACTGGCTATCAGAGAAAAGGTTGTCTTTAAAAATATATATGCCTTTTGCATATGCTTTGTGACAGACATACAGCCTGAAGACTGGCATATGACAAGGGGAAATCAATAAAAAACACATAATGATATTATAAATATTTATAGAATAGCTAGATGAGTATAACATGACAGGGAGAAGTCAAGCAGGCTTTTAGAATAGCAGAACTGTGCTCTAAAATATATTGGAATTTTTCTGGGTGAGTTACAATGGGGTAAAAAGGCGTTGCATAGGCTGTCAGGGACATTCACAACACTTTTGATTAAAGTAATTTCTAAGCAACCATGAGAAAAGCTTCATCAAAGAAGTGCAGCTAAATAAAAGTTGGAAAGCAGAGAAGGGAAAAAGTTTTCAGAAGGGATGACGTATTCACAGAGCGTCCCAGTAGAAACCTGTAGGGATTGATGATTGATTGATTTGTAACCTCAGAAATTAGGGAAAGGGTTCTCTGTGTTTCAAGCAGGATTAAAAATGATACAGCTTTATCCAAAGACTAGGAATTTTCCAAGTCTGCTAAAAGACTTTTTTAACTATCTTTTTGCATGTAACTGCCTATTGATGTAGTTTTGTATCTGTTAATACATACATATGTAGCTTGGGCCTGTAAGACTTCAAGGTTTATAAGCAGCCAATAGAAAAACAAGATGAGAAACAAATTTAGTTCCATAAATGAAAGTAAAATTTTCCTATAGTCATCCTCCTGTCCTGTAGAAATCAGCCTTAGTGCACGGCTAATTCATCTACAGGAGGACTTTGACTGGGAATTGGCTCCATTTGTTCTCTGTGTTGATGTAAACATCAAGAATAAACTGGAGGTTTTGTACAGAGAAATTTATTCTTTTCTGCTTGAGCTGCAGATGGTTGAATTTGCTCAGTCTGCAAAAGCTGCAAAAATACATAGGGAAAAGAAAGTTATACTAAAAATGGAAGAAACTATGCAAAAGACAGCAAAAGAATAGCTTGTTCTGCCTTTATCAAAGGCCCGCAAAAGCTTCTTCAGTGGAGATATCCATGTCTGGGGAAAGGTTATTTTTGCTGCTGAATTCTTGCTTATAGAATCCTCTTTCCCTTTAATCCAAACAGAGCACAATGTCATTAATGGTTGGGTCAGGGTGCTAATTATCTTTGTGAAAAATGGATGGGCAGACAATCAGGAGATAGATGCTTCCTAATTTGTTAAGGGCTTTTAAAGATAAATGGCCTTGAAGTAGATTTGTTTTCAAATGAATAGCCAGTAGAGTGCTCAGAGCAGTGGCACAGTGAGCTCTCATCAGTTTTTCTCAGAGTGATGAATGTTGCATATTCTGTCTGCTGACGTGGTCTTTGCCTTCAGATGTCCCAATTTATTAACAGTTTTTTAGGGCAATGGTGGTAAATTACTGCAGCTCAATTTTATTACTGTTTTACATCTACCGAGGACTGAGCCCTGTGTGCAGCTTTATATTAACTCAGCAAGCACCATTAAAATATTGACATTTAGGCTCATTTTGGTAGCATTAATCGTAGCATTAATCATAGCATTTTATCATGCGTTAATTGCATGAAATGACTGGTTTGAAATAACTGGAATGTTTACTTTTCTTAAAGCAGGAGAAACAATAATTTCCATTTCTCCACTTTTTCAACGTATAACTGTGCTTTAGAAAACTCAAACAAACAACAAACAACCCAAAACTCACAACCTGCCTGCTTCTGATTGTGTGTGTTGGGGGCATCTTCTTCTTAGCTTCCTTGCAACAACTGAACATGTAAGAGCCAGAAGCTCTTACGGGCCTCACTGGAAGCTCTTGGAAGTGTCATCTCTGAAAATCGGCCTCTGAAGTCTCAGTGTGAGTACCCACAGACAGGCCTTGGCTTCAAAAATGTACCTCAATGTATATAACAAGAGTACTCCTGATTTGCAAAAAATGCTGAAAATCTACAGCATTTTCATATGTTGATACAGCTTAAGGCACAGAAATGCCTTTTGTTATTCACCAGCAGGAATAGCCTTACAGCACCCATGCATATTTGTATTACCCTATCAGTAAAAGAACCTGTGATATTTGCTGGCTCTTTTCAGTGGAGGGCATCACTAGATGATTATGTTTAATATAAGGAGCTGGCAGCCTCTCTCACTTAACAATCATTAGGAGATCTGCTGTGGAGGTCCCATTTTGTGAGGCAGTTGGAAATTGGCACTTAGTTTAGATGTATTGTTTTCTACCTTTCTCCTAAAGTTCAAGGACAAGGCAAAACTGTTCGGACTACACAAAGAAAAATGTTTTTTCACTTTCCTTTGTTTACTTGCTCCTCTGACCTCTCTGTTTATTCCCTACGAAAATTTATTCCCCACATAAATTTATTCCCCCATATGTACATGAATTAAAAGGAAGTGTGGACCATGTCAGGAAAAATGAAAGTGGAAGGCATGAGGGGAGGTATTTCGAAGCACCATGCAGAAGATAGCTATGATAATCATGCAGACTTTTTGTGGGGTAAAAATTATCTAGGTCGTTATGTTTCTCTTGATACTTATGAAAGAGGACAATACCGTTACTTCTGTTCTAGGGAACTGAGGCATAGAATGGGTCAATGGGGAAACCCTAAATCACTCAAAAGGCAAAATGCAGAATAGTGGTATCCCAGTCACTAACCTTCACTTCCTGCTCCTAACCATGCGTTTAATTAATTATTTTAAATACTGCTTCTCCCAACTCTCACCCTAAGATGTTCCTACGTCTTCAGGACTTTGACCACCTGTTATTTTCCCTGGTAACATCATATGGCTTAAGCCACAGCTTCATTTGTAGCCTTCTGCCTCCTGCTATACAGGATCTTCTCAAAAGCTTAAAAGACTTTCTAGTGATAGAGGTTTTCTTTTTTCAATTACAGTGGCTTCAAATGACCAAATAATACTTCATTAACCTGATTGCCTAAGGATATCAAGCTCCAGAGGAAACTTGTATTCCTGTATGATTGGCAAGATAATTAGGAAGTGAAATAATGCAAATCCCACCACAGGCAGCTGTCAAAAGATTTATGTATTTACTCTTTGAATTCAAAGTGTGTCATATCATAAATCCTTTTTTTCTTTTAAGGCTTTTATATCTGTGAGTTTATTATCGACCTTCACAATGCACATTTTGCTGGGGCAGGAGGCTTTATGAGCTCAATCAAGTTGGGCTGGTAAATCCACCGAGATTTTTAATCTGCAGTATCACCTAGATAACACAGGTTCAAGTACACTTTTTCTCTTACTAGCTTTTGATTTGAAGCTCCTGGGTCATGGGCTTTCATTCTGTATTTAGAAAGTATCTACCAGAGTGGATCAACCAAAATTAGAGCTTTTATGTGATATTAAAACACAGGCAAAGAAGCCACTGATGGCTGCAAGAGTTCTTCATTGTCCAGGAGGGTGGAATATTGGATGTAGATTAGGGACATCTTCATATGAAGTCACCTACCGCCTTCCCTGTTAATAGAGGGTAGGGTGAAGCTCATGTCAGTATTCGTTGCATCTAGGCAGCAGCAGCAGCAAGTGGGAGATTAAATGAGAGAGCTGTATAGATATGGGGTCCTGTTGAGGGTGGCCTTCAGTAAGTAAAAGTCACTTATAAATTAAAGGTTTAATAAAACCCTACCAAGTAAAAGGTATCTAATGAAGTTCTGACAGCTTCTCTATCTGAAAATGGTAAAACCTAAGAAGCAAGGAAATTTGTGGAGTTGGTCTAAGGTGGTTGCATCAAAATTAATCTGGCAAAAGGAAAATAAAAAAAAGGATAAAAAAATCAATAGTCTTGCTAATGAGAATCAACATTTATCTTACAGGAAACCTGAAGTTTTGCCTTCTGATTCTGAACCAGCCTTTAAACAAAGGTCATTTCCATTGTCTGTGGAGCAAAGGTAATAATAACTTACATACATCTTCATTTGCTTATTTACTTAGCTGCTACCTGGCTAATGTACTTCATGTCTGCTGAATTGCAGTGTGGCAATTTCCTCTTTGCTAGAGCAACCTTCTGATGAGGGCGTAAATTGGCAGAATATGTCCCTTGTTGCTGAATGCAGCAAACGGGCTGATTATGCAAATTTTGCATCTCTGCATTGCATACGTCAGTGGGAAGTTTATGGACTGATCTATATAAGACCAGCTTTTCATAGGCAGCTTAGGAGCGATCATTGTTTTGCTGACAAAGTGCAGCAGATCAATGGTGCATTTAAGAGTCTGGAAGCAAGCATTCCTTTAAAGGTCATAAGTGAAATGTTTTAATTTTAATCAAAATAAAATGAACCGTGTAGATATTAAGTTGTGAAAGCGGTGGGAATTTGCGTGCTTGTCAGAAATATGCAAATCAGATTTCACTACCCCTTTGTTAAATATGCACAGTGCTAATCATCATCTCTGGTATGATAGCTTCAGATTTACTGACATTTTGTGGAGATATGTAAATCTCTACAAGCTTGGAACTATTAATTCCTCCAGTGCAGGAATGTAGTCCTTCAGAAGCTTTCTGAAAAGCCACAGGAACTGTCTCCAACTTGTTACCAGGATGTGAACCTTGCAGAGATTCCTCTTAACTGACTGAGGAAGATAGAGCTATTTGATTTCACCATAGGCATAAGGACAGGCAGGGGGTAGCTGTGCAGTTGAAAGGAATTGGAATAAGTGGCAGGATGTATTTGTATCACTTAATTCCAGTAAACACAAATTAGGTGCCTATATAGCCAGACAAGTGAGAAAAAAAGGGAGAGAGCTGCACTAGATGATTCAAAGCATCTGAAGAAGTGCTATACCCCAAATGGGCTCGCTTTCATTTGCATAATCAGCAAGAAAGGGAAGTAGAAGGGCTGTCAAGTTATTTTATAGATGTGATTCTACTTATTTTTGCATTTAAAAAGATACACTGAGAGACCTGTTCTGTATTAAGTAATGAAGGAAAGAAGGTGAAATATTTTGATCTTATTTCTTTGTCCCACCTTTCCTGTTTTGAGAGTTGAGGTTAAAAAAAGAGACAGCAAATCAGACATGCACAGTTAATGGCAGTATTTGGTGTGCTGTAGTACCTTGCATGTGTTTGTGCTGTGTTCTGTTAATCAGACTATGTTTTTGTCTGTCCTTTAGAATTTTTAAGTCTTCCTCTTTTGATCTAACCTTCTGGCATGGAGTGCTTCTAACTGTTAACACTAATGGTCTCTTAACTGTAGTGCTTCTGTAAAGGCTTGGGATAAGAAGCTGAATAAAATCGAGTAGACCTAAGACTGCTTTGTGTGAAACTACCTCAATGGGTTCCTGTTCTCTGAGCATAATTGCGTGTACAGTGATTATTGGTGCTGTGAATAGTGTCCCAAAGAGTTTGTGAGACTTAGGAGCAGAAGTCCTATTTAAGCTAATAAGACTTCAGCTGGTAGATTACTTTCGGAAATAGGTGGATATTTTCTATCTAAGTAAAATGACAGGAAGGTGGTGACATAGTGGACCTGAAATGTTTTTCTTCAAAGCATCTTCAGTAAACCTTAGTGAATTCAGGACAAGGTTTTGGCAATACCTGGCTTACAATTCTAGTGGACTGCTGTAGATATCAGCAATCTTCTGGATCCTACTTCTGAAAGAGTTTCAACACAGAGACTGTTGCAGGACTAGGAGAACCTGGGGAGTTTGGTATGGAAACTGAAAGAATTTCTGAAAGAATGAAACATCCTTAGAAACTGTGCTTGATGACCAACTGTATATGTTTGAGATCTCATAAATGAGTGATGAGAAGGAAAAAATGGGGCAGTTAATCCACAGAATATTGCCAGCTACACAAATGAAGGGGAAAAGGGAGAGAAAAATAGAAAGGAAGAAAAAGAAAATAAAATATTGTCCATCTTCTCTAAGCTACAGCAATCTTGGCTGTTACACTGAGTACAGAATGTGTTATTTTCAAGTAGATTGTGTCCTGTCAAAATAATTCATTTCATTAGCCTTGTCAGTTTAGCGTCAAGTAAAATTGAAGGTGTGATTGATATGTCCTGAGTTTGAAAAAAAATCGCATCGATAAGTGTGGCTATTCTAGGCTGAAATCATCCCAGGTGTAACTCCTCTTGACCTCAAGAAGAAGTGGTTGCAGCTAATTAGCCTTTGTCTTATTACAGACTTGTGAGAAATCTATTTTTACTGACATACTTTTGAAAAGAAGTATTTCAGTCTGTACAAGTTTGCATGAACTTCCTTCCCTGTGCTTTGTGAAGGACACTGATCAGTTTTCATCACTTCCAGAGGACATCTTTTACCACTCTTACCATACAAGCAGGGTAAGTGAAAATAGCGAGTTAGTACAAGTCAAAGACTATATGATTTTAGTTTATTTTATTCACTATGTAGTAAATCAATCTAGAACATGTCCCCTTTGTGTTAGGTACAGTCATGCAGTATTAGTGCTGTCCCAAAGGATGAAATTTCAGGATGAAATGTGGGAGAAGGGGTAGTTTTTCAAAGCAGGGTGAAGAATAACATGACAGAAAACACTGGTTGTTCCCTGAGGGATTTATTGGGTTGGGTATAGTGAGAAGGGGCAAAGCAAGTGGCAAGCAAAATTGAAGGGAATAGGTCAGTAAAGGGGAATAGGTAAGGGAAAAAGCTCTCACAGTAAGTGAAGCTGATATAAGGAGACTGAATATGGAAAAGTGAGGTGGATGCAGAGGGTTGGAAGTAGGCTATGAGTAAGCATAAGGCTGGGAACATCAGTCAGATTCATCAAAAGTGCTTTGACTGTAGCTGCTAATGCAGTGATTTTTACCTGAGGAAGTTGTATGGATTCCCTTGCAATCTTGATCCTAATTGTGGAAAATATATGGAAGAGTCAGGGTCCCGCTTTCCTCAGAGCTGCACATTTTTCTGTCTGTGAAGTCTCTGTAAGGAAGACTGAATCCAGTATGACCTTACCTTAACAACACCCTTACACTTTCTAAATTCCTGCTTATGTGAATTTTCTAGTCTCTAGGGCTACTTTGCAAGTGGTTTCACATGTAAATATATCTTTAACAGAAATTACTCTGAATCTAAAGTCTAAAGCTGTCTTTATGTTAAGTTTGAAAAGTACAGAAGCCCAGGCTTTAGTGGCTGAAAACAGAATGGGCTTTCTGGAGAGTTAAATGAAAGTTCCTGAGGCTTTGATTCTGCTCTTTAAAATCTCATTAATCAGAAATGCAATGACTTACTTATGCCAAGAATTTCACCAATGTCTAGTGATTGCAAGTACTTCTGTTTTTTGATGTCTCCCTAGGGAAGAGGCAGAATTATTGTAGTGCTGAGAAATTACCTCTGTAAAATTGTCTCAAGTTCAGGACCTGAAAGTTGTTTCCTGTTTCTGAAAACATTGTTCCTACAAGCTACTCAAATGATCCAGAATTGTCTTCATGTCCTCACTTGATGATAGGATGTTAAATGACTGTACATTGTAGAGTACTTTCCTTTCTTAAATGTTGACAGTTACAGCTTTAAAGAGCAAGGAATTATGCTTTGAAAAATAAGATTATTATTTCAAGAATCAGAGTAAAATGGCAACATTCTACAGCAATCTGATGAAGTTGTGCTTTACAGTAAGAAAATGGGTCCGTGGATATTTTTCAGTTCTTTCAATGGTTGTGATACAGTGGCCACTGTGTCTTCCTCAAGAGGATTGTGATCTTTTTCTGCAAATAAAGATGTTCCATGAAAGCTTTTAATCAAACAGAACATGCTGAAGTAGTTTAAATATTAGCCATTTATACTACCAAATGCCCTTGGCTGATGTACTATACTAAACTACCAATATCCTTTTGGAACAGGCTGACTGAATCCTGACAAGGATTCAGTATTTAATGTTGGATAAGTAGATGAGAAGGAGACATCTGTGAAACCAGACTGCAAAAATATGTACCCTTCAGATGTACATTGCTAAAAAGTCCCTTTCATGGACCCTTCTTTTCAAGGAAGGAAGTCGGGGTCTAGCTATGTTTTCATGTGCTGCCCTACTGACAGCACCGACAGCCACTTCTCTATATGCATAGTATATAGTCATTTTATGACACTTTGTAGATTGTGATCATGGAGGAATTCCAGAAAGAGGAATGTTGCCCACCCTGGAGATTTCAGCTCTATATTTTAGGGGGGAGAATCTGAGTTAACAGAATGCATCCTTCTACACTACAGCAGCAGTGTAATAACTCAAATTCAAACTCTGTTAAATTGTCTTCATGTAAACTGTATTTCTTTACACTACTTCTGTTGTGATTGCTTATCCATACATTGAGGTTTTTTGCAAGTTTCCATCTCTATCAATACCCATATTGCAACAAAGTGTCTAGTGGATTTTAAATTGTATCTTGAATGTGAGGCAAATTTCCTATCAAGGTCAGCCTACTGTGTGGTGAAAATGCTGCTAATGAATGGATGGTTAGCACCTGGAGGTGACTTGCATTGCAAAATATCTCCTCTTATGAGTAATCAAGTTGGGAAAGGTGCTAATTTGTATCACCAATTTCAAAATCATCTCTGTTTGAATGCCACCTGCTCCCATTCATTTTATGTTCCATATGCTTTTGTCTGCAATCTAATTGATGACTGATATTTTGAATGTCTTCTGTTGAGGTCCAAGAGCTGTATGTAAAGGTAAATAAGATACAAGTGGTGATGTAAAGCTCAGGTAGATATATAGAGGGGATAGTAACAGATTACTTGGAACAGTTTTATTTTCTCAGAGCAGAGAAAAGGATATTGTAGTTTAATAACAGGAGGAAAATAACCTGACTTTCCCTGGTGCTATTTTTTCTTGTCCATAATTGATACCTTTTCCTCCATTGTCTTTAGTGGTTGAACTCACCTGCACTTCTGGAATTATTGGTATGTACAGCCATTCACTTGCCCTTTTACCTATCATCCA